TGTTTACTCTTGAACATCACCAAAGAATCAAACATTTCTACTACTTTGAGCTCAATTTTAAGTTACTGTACTTTTCATCGTGAAATCAATCAAAATCATATCTAATTCTGTCGTACATCTTCCATTCTATCAAATGAGACCAAAAAAACGAGAATACAACCATAAAAACCATACGAAAATATACCGCTAAGGGGAGGCTAATGGCTGAGAAGCAAACTCCGTTATTTATGATCTGATTTCTTTCATTTTTTGGTGTACACTAAGAAGCATCTTTCCATCATACATTGCCCAAGTTTTAATAAGATAGTCCAACAAACAACTGAGATCCAGTTTCCTAGATCAAGAGCAAGAGCCCCTCACCAGCACCAAGGAACCTCCCTTGAGGCCCGGTCGCATCTGGAAATTTCGCTCGTATCTGGAAGCAAAAAAATCGACCGTGCGACTGCTCATATCTGGAAAAACTCGCACGTGGATGCAGTCATAAGTAGAGGTTCCACTGTATTTCCTTATTTAGGTATTAATCCTCTTTCTATAAAACTAGTTTTGGTATAAATTTTAAGAGTAATTGAGCAAACTTTGAATTAAAATTAAAATTAAAATCAGTGTAAAGGGCCAGTGTCTTAAGTCACCCTGCCATCTGAAGTGTCTCAAATTACCCCAACTAATGCTATATACCTAACCTAATCAGCATGCATGCCTAACCTAACAAATACATGCCTAATCTACCCAGTATACATGCCTAATCTAACCAGTATACATGCCTAATCTAACTAGCATACATGCCTAATCTAACCAGCATACATGCTTAATCTAACCAACATACATACCTAATCTAACCAGCATACATGCCTAATCTAACCAGCATACATGCCTAATCTAACCAGCATACATGCCTAATCTAACCAGCATACATGCCTAATCTAACCAGCATACATACTTAACCTAACCAGCACTCATGCCTAATCTAAGTAGCATACATACCTAACCTAACTAGCATACATACCTAACTAGCATACATGCCCAACCTAACTAACATATGTACCAAACCTAACCAACATATACACCTAATCTAACCAGAATACATACCTAACCTCATCAGCATTAATACCTAGAAGAAAGCATAAATATTTACTTTATTCTTGGGCTCCACTTCATCACTGAGTGAAATTTTTTGAAATTGATGTGGAAATGTAACCCAACCTAACCTAATCCAATCTAACCTAATCCAATCTAACCTAATCCAATCTAACATAATCCAATCTAACATAATCCAATCTAACATAATCCAATCTAACATTATCCAATCTAACATTATCCAATCTAACATAACCCAACCCAACATAACCCAACCTAACATAACCCAACCTAACATAACCCAACCTAAACTAACCCAACCTAATCCAATCCAACCTAATCCAACCCAACCTAATCCAACCTAACCTAATCCAAACATAACCCAAACTAACTTATCTAACCCAAACCTGACATAACTCAATCTTACCTAACCAAACATATATAATAACGATACTCTTATTACTGATGAGGGGCTCAAGCACACGACAATGCATCAAGGAGGTGGTGAAAGACAATACAGTGGACCCCCGGTTAACAATATTTTTTCACTCCAGAAGTATGTTCAGGTGCCAGTACTGACCGAATTTGTTCCCATAAGAAATATTGTGAAGTAGATTAGTCCATTTCAGACCCCCAAACATACACGTACAAACGCACTTACATAAATACACTTACATAATTGGTCACATTCGGAGGTAATCTTTATGCGGGGGTCCACTGTACATGCTTGAGTCTAAAGATTATTTTTCAGGAACCTCATCAAGGAGTCATTCATGAGACTACATATTGCATACATGGTGGCTGGTGGCCTGTGGCCTGGTTGGCAACGCTCTTGTTTCACATGCTGAGTATCCGTGGTTCAATCCCCGGTGACGGTGGAAGCACTGAGTGTTTCCTTACATCTGTTGTCCTGTTCACCTAGCAAGTAGGTACAGTGGAACCTCAAATTTCGAAAGTATCGCTTATCGAACTCTTCGAAAATAGAACCCTTTTTTCGAACCAACTTTGTCCCTATTATCGAACTCGCCCCTATTTTCGAACCGCCGGGTACCGGACCTGTCCAGCAGCCCGCTCTGTCCGCGTCCCCACACAGGCGCCATGAGCCAGTCTGGTTTTGTTGATGCTTCAGTGAACACTAACCCGTGCTCTCATTCAAACATTTTACGATTATTTCATTGTGTTTAGTGCTTGTGGGACTGTGAAATAAGCTACAATGGGAGGAATGAAACTTAATAGTGGTACCCTTGTGGTAAAGAAAGTGAGAAACACCATAGATGTAAAGAAGGAAATAATACAGAAGTGGAATGATGTCCAAGCTGAAACAAGCCATCTTTGCAACAAGTTCAGTGACAGAACCATGTCCCATTTTAGGGAAATCTTAAAGAGGCACCAGAAACAGAGGACTGTGGACAGTTATTCTGTGAGACAGGGGTCCAGTGACTCTCAAGCTGGTCCTAGTGGCATTAAAAGACAGAAGGGAAGTAACCCCAGAGAAGGCTTCGATACCTGAAGTCCCCATGGAGAGGGATTCTCCTTCCAAACACTAACCCCAACTCCCTCTCTCCTCCTCCCTATCTTCCAGATGCCATCACCAATCTTCAATAAAGGTAAGTAAAATGTTATTTTATATGTTTATTTAAATTTATTAATACATAATTGAACACTATATTTGCTGTGTGTAAAACTATAATTAATCTCTATAAAATGTAATTTTTTTTGTGAATATTTTTGGCTTTCTGGAACGGATTAATTATACAGTGGACCCTCGCCTAACGAACGCATTGCTTAACGTTAAATTCGCCTAACGATACATTTTAACGCTAACATTCTGCCTCGGCTAATGCTAAAAAACTCGCCTAACGATATTCGTTCTTGGGTACCAATTAATATCATTAGGTGAGGGTCCACTGTATTTCCATTATTTCTTATGGGAAATATTGCTTCGCTTTTCAGACTTTTCGAATTTAAAACTCCTGGAACGGATTAAGTTCAATATTTAAAGTTCCACTGTATCTGGGTGTTAGCCAACTGGTGTGGATTGCATCCTGGGGGACAAGATTTAAGGATCCCAATGGAAATAAGAGAGACAGTCCCTCGATGATGCACTGTCTTTCTTGCGTTATCCTGGGTGGCTAACCCTCCGGGGTTAAAAATCCAAACAAAAGCTTATCTTATCTTATGCAAGGCCCATCTTGGAGTATGCAGCACCAACATATAATCCACACTTGGTAAAACATGCCAGGAAGCTGGAAATTCACAACACATCTAGTCCTGGAGCTAAGGGGTATAAATATGAGGAGAGCTCTATTAAAGGACCTTTATCTGACATTAGGGGACAGAAGGACCAAGGGAGACACGATAATAGAATGTACGAAGTACTGAGAGGAATTGATAGGGTAGACAGACAGAGATGGGGAAACAGGTACAAGAGGATAACACAGCTATTAGAACAGGCAAGTCAAAGGGATGTTAGGAAATATTTCTTTAAACCTCAGAGTGGTCAGGAAGTGATATAACCTGGAGTGAAATGGTAGAGGCAGGATCCATGCATTGCTTAAAAAATAGGTAAGACAAGGTTCATAAAGCTTGGAGAAAGTTTATACGTAGTGTAAATTACATAGGATAACCTAGGAAACCTACCAGCTGCTAGAGGAGAGGTGGTGCCAGGAGCTGACTCTACCCCTGCCTGTATGAGTAGGTGAGCAAAGTTAAAGTTAGAATAAGTGTTGCCTGAAGTGCTGTGCATGCTATGGGCTATCTTTATTATTTATTATTTATTTATTTATTTATTAACAATTTGAGCACACATACAGAGGTACAAAAAAATACAGATAAGAGCAGCATGCCAAAGCCACTTATACTATGCATAGCATTACGGGCTGGCTTAAAATTAACTTAAGATTAACTAAGCAATGATGAAATCAGTGATAAAACATTAATGTAAACAGATTACTATAAAGCACAAGTGAGTATTACAAAGACAGGTCATATGGTTGCATGCATCTGATTTTTGTATACATATTTCTTATATGCGGTAATCTGAAACATAAAATCTAAATCTAATTTTAGCCTAACCATCATACATCCATTTCTTTAGTGTACTCGTTTGTGAAAATAAAAAATGTTTCTTTTCCCCCCCTGGCTTTCAATTTATTCATTCTCTCCTACTTTTTACCTGACATTTTTATAAGTGCCATTTTTAACTGCCATATTTACTAATCACCATATTAACTAAGTGTCACTTAGACAATAAATTTAACCTTGAAGACAAGTGTCAATTTGATGATTGTTGCAGGACTGATAACAATGACTGTTGCAGGGCTGATAATAATTACTGCTGCAGGATTGATAACAATGATTGGTGCAGGACTGATAAATGATCATTGCAGGATTGCTAACAATGATTATTGCAAGACAGATAACTGATCGTTGCAGGATTGCTAATAATGATTGTTGCAGAACTGGTAATTGATCATTGCAGGATTGCTAATAAAATAATGATCATACCAGGATTGACAACAATGACTGCTGCAGGACTGACAACAATGACTGCTGCAGGATTGACAACAATGATCATTATAAGATTGATAACGATGATTGTTGCAGGATTTATAACAATGATTGTTGCAGTATTGATAACATTGTTACAGGATTGATAACAATGATTGTTGCAGGTTTGATAACAATGTTACAGGACTGATAATAATTGTTGCAATTTTACAACAATGGCTGTTGCAGGAGTGACAATGTTGCAGGATTTATGACTGTTGCAGGATTATGACTGTTGCAGGGTTTATGTTGCAGGATTGATAACTATATTTCAGGATTGATAATGAGTGTTGCAGGATTGCTAGCAATGACCGTTGCATGATTGTTAACAATGTTGCATCAGGAAGGTCTAATGTGGTGTTGCATCATTAACTTACCAGTGAGAGCCAGCACCCTGGCACCTGCCAGTGCCAAGGTGAGCCAGACAACACATAACCAGTAATGGAGTGTCATACTGCCACCAGCATGCTAGATAATAATATAAATGTTGTGTTAGCAGCAGCAGCAGCAACAGTCGGGTTGCTCTCACCACCGTCGAGTGTCACTCTCGTCAGTAACGTAGCGACGTGTGTGTTGCCGGACACAATGTCACACCGCACTTTTCCATTACCAGTATAGTGAATGGGGATTATTTGTTGTTGCGTGTTTCAGTAATGATGATGGTAGGGTAGGCCTGGGGGTAGGCCTGGGGGGTAGGCCAGGGGGGTAGGCCTAGGGGGGGACACGTGAGGCTCAGCTGGCGCACTTACCACCATCAATGTTTTATTTATTTATTTATTTATTTATTTACAATTTGAGCACACATACAGAGGTACAAAACATGCTATGACATCGACACATACGTAAATTACACACATGTGCAACTTTCTGGAAACTTTTATTAGTATGTGTTTCGCTTATAAAAACTGGTAAGCAAAGCTCTCGCTTCACACGGCCATGTCCGGGTTCGATTTCCGGCGAGGGTAGAAACATTGGGCGTGTTTCCTTACACCTGTTGTGCATGTTCACCCATCAGTATAAAATGGGTACCTGGGTGTTAGTGGACAATATACTCAGATCACAACATAATTGAGGTTCAGACATGTATGCGTGGAGCCCCAGACCGACAAAATGAGACTAGTCACGAGGGAGCATTCACCAAATTCAACTTCAATAACAAAAACATAAAGTGGGACCAAGTAAACCAAGTCCTAACCGATATAAGCTGGGAAGATATACTAAGCAACACAGACCCAAACTTATGCCTAGAACAGATTAACTCGGTGGCACTCGATGTATGCACAAGGTTTATTCCTCTAAGAAAAAGGAGGAGTAGATGTAAAATAGAAAGAGACAGGCGCTCCCTTTACAGGCGACGGAAAAGAATAACAGAGCGGCTAAAAGAGGTCAATATATCTGAAATGCGCAGGGAGACACTGGTCAGAGAAATAGCAAGCATCGAACTTAAGCTAAAAGAATCCTTTAGGAGTCAGGAATCGCGGAAGAACTAAAAGCCATAAATGAAATCGAAAGAAACCCAAAGTATTTCTTCTCCTATGCCAAATCAAAATCGAGAACAACGTCCAGTATTGGGCCCCTACTTAAACAAGATGGGTCCTACACAGATGACAGCAAGGAAATGAGTGAGCTACTCAAGTCCCAATATGACTCAGTTTTTAGCAAGCCGCTAACCAGACTGAGAGTCGAAGATCAAAATGAATTTTTTATGAGAGAGCCACAAAATTTGATTAACACAAGCCTATCCGATGTTAACCTGACGCCAAATGACTTCGAACAGGCGATAAATGACATGCCCATGCACTCTCCCCCAGGGCCAGACTCATGGAACTCCGTGTTCCATCAAGAACTGCAAGAAGCCCCTATCACGAGCCTTTTTCCCCATCCTATGGAGAGGGAGCATGGACACGGGGGTCGTCCCTCAGTTACTAAAAACAACAGACATAGCCCCATTTCCACAAAGGGGGCAGTAAAGCAACAGCAAAGAACTACAGACCAATAGCACTAACATCCCATAATCATAAAAATCTTTGAAAGGGTCCTAAGAAGCAAGATCACCACCCATCTAGAAACCCATTAGTTACACAACCCAGGAACATGGGTTTAGAACAGGTCGCTCCTGTCTGTCTCAACTATTGGATCCTACGACAAGGTCCTAATTGCACTAGAAGACAAAAAGAATGCAGATGTAATATATACAGACTTTGCAAAAGCCTTCGACAAGTGTGACCATGGCGTAATAGCGCACAAAATGCGCGCTAAAGGAATAACAGGAAAAGTCGGTCGATGGATCTATAATTCCTCACTAACAGAACACAGAGAGTAGTCGTCAACAGAGTAAAGTCCTAGGCAGCTACGGTGAAAAGCTCTGTTCCACAAGGCACAGTACTAGCTCCCATCTTGTTCCTCATCCTCATATCCGACATAGACAAGGATGTCAGCCACAGCAACCGGTCTTCCTTTGCAGATGACACCCGAATCGCATGACAGTGTCTTCCATTGCAGACACTGCAAGGCTCCAGGCGGACAAAACCAAATCTTTCAGTGGGCTGCAGAAAACAATAATGAAGTTCAACGATGAGAAATTTCAATTACTCAGATATGGTAAACATGAGGAAATTAAATTTTCATCAGAGTACAAAACAAATTCTGGCCACAAAATAGAGCGAAACACCAACGTCAAAGACCTGGTAGTGATTATGTCGGAGGATCTCACCTTCAAGGACCATAACATGTATCAATCGCATCTGCTAGAAAAATGACAGGATGGAAATGAGAACCTTCAAAACTGGGGAGGCCAAGCCCATGATGACACTCTTCAGGTCACTTTTTTCTATCTAGGCTGGAATATTGCTGCACTCTAACAGCACCTTTCAAGGCAGGTGAAATTGCCGACCTAGAAAATGTACAGAGAACCTTCACGGCGCGCATAACGGAGATTAAAACACCTCAATTACTGGGAGCGCTTGAGGTTTCTAAACCTGTTTTCCCTGGAACGCAGGAGGGAGAGATACATGATTATATACACCTGGAAAATCCTAGAGGGATAGTACCGAACTTGCACACGAAAATCACTCACTACGAAAGCAAAAGACTTGGCAGACGATGCACCATCCCCCCAATGAAAAGCAGGGGTGTCACTAGCACGTTAAGAGACCATACAATAAGTGTCAGGGGCCCGAGACTGTTCAACTGCCTCCCAGCACACATAAGGGGGATTACCAACAGACCCCTGGCAGTCTTCAAGCTGGCACTGGACAAGCACCTAAAGTCAGTTCCTGATCAGCCGGGCTGTGGCTCGTACGTTGGTTTGCGTGCAGCCAGCAGCAACAGCCTGGTTGATCAGGCGCTGATCCACCAGGAGGCCTGGTCACAGACCGGGCCGCGGGGGCGTTGACCCCCGAAACTCTCTCCAGGTAAACTCCAGGACTGGTGTGGGTCGCATCCTGGGACAAAACTGACCTAGTTTGCGGGAAATTCTTTGCGACTGATACAATGCAATGGTCCTTGACCGTTCAAGGGAGGTTCCTTGACGCTGGTGAGGGGCTCTTGATCTAGGGAATTGGATCTGTGCTCCAGTTCCCTGAATTGAGCCTGAATACCTTCCATTCCCCCCATGCGCTGTATAATCTTATGGGTTTAGCGTTTCTCCATAAAAATTATAATATGGTCCTTGAAGGTGAGTCCTCTGACATGATCACTCCCAGGTCTTTGACATTAGTTTTTCGCTCTATTATGTGCTTGGAATTTGTTTTATACTCTAATGAAGTTTTAATTTACTCCGATATGGAAAACGTGAGGAAATTGAAACTTCATGAGAGTACAAAACAAATTCCAACCACACAATAGAGCGAAAAACTGATGTCAAAGACCTGGTAGTGATCATGTAGGAGGATCTCACCTTCAAGGACCATAACATTGTATCAATCGCATCTGCTAGAAAAATGACAGGATGGATAATGAGAACCTTCAAAACTAGGGAGGCCAAGCCCATGATGACACTCTTCAGGTCACTTGTTCTATCTAGGCTGGAATATTGCTGCACACTAACAGCACCTTTCAAGGCAGGTGAAATTGCTGACCTAGAAAATGTACAGAGAACCTTCACGGCGTGCGTAACGGAGATAAAACACCTCAATTACTGGGAGCGCTTGAGGTTCCTGAACCTGTACTCCCTGGAACGCAGGAGGGAGAGATACATGATTATATACACCTGGAAAATCCTAGAGGGACTAGTACCGAACTTGCACACGAAAATCACTCACAACAAAAGCAAAAGACTTGGCAGACGATGCAACAGCCCCCCAATGAAAAGCAGGGGTGTCACTAGCACGTTAAGAGACAATACAATAAGTGTCAGGGGCCCGAGACTGTTCAACTGCCTCCCAGCATACATAAGGGGGATTACCAATAGACCCCTGGCTGTCTTCAAGCAGGCACTGGACAAGCACCTAAAGTCAGTACCTGACCAGCCGGGCTGTGGTTCGTACGTCAGCTTGCGTGCAGCCAGCAGTAACAGCTTAGTTGATCATGTCCTGATCCACCATGAGGCCTGGTCACAGACCGGGCCATGGGGGCGTTGACCCCCGGAACTCTCTCCAAGTATAACAAGCGGCTTTCTATATAGTAGTATGACATTGATGTTAACTAGGACTGTATACCTTATACATGTACTTGTAGTAAATAAAAATATTATTATTATTATTATTATTATTATTATTATTAATTGTTTTTACTTTTTTTGCAGCGCTGTATGACCCTTGTGGATTTAGCACTTAGTTTTGATTATAATAATAATTTTACTTTTTTTTTCAAATTTTCAACGCTTGTGCACGGTAACGAGGACTAAATTCTAGGAACAATTATAATTTGCCAGTGCCCTACTGAGGCCATTCCAAGCATCAACGACTACCTTGGAGAACTTACAAATCCTGGGAGTCAGGATACCAACTGTTTTCGATATTTTTTTTTTTAATGTGTTGGATGTGGGTGTTAAATTTCAAGGTGCAGACCAAGAATTTTTCCCTCATTATGCGTAGTAATAACAGCATTGTTAATCATAACGTTTAATTGGACATGACTTGCTCTGCTACCAAACATAATGTAGGTTTTGTTCATGTTATGTGTGAGTTTATTGGTAGTCAACCAGGTTGAGTGATGTTACGTAGGACACATGCAACAGTTAGGCAGCTTTATTTCGAAACGTTTCACCTACCTAGTAGGCTTCTTCAGTCGAGTACAGAAAAGTTGGTTGAAGCAGAAGAGATGTGAAACGATATGATCAGTCCATCACCCTTGAAGACGTACTTTTGAGGTTGTCAGTCCCTCAGCCTGGAGAAAAATATTCGGTTGTTGAGTGATGCTTAATTTGGTTAGGAGATGACAAAGTTGTGTCGTCGACAAAAAGAATAGGTCTAAGTTGCTGAGATACATTTGGAAGATTACTGATGTTTAAGAGGAATGTCCAGAAGCCTTGTTGAAGATGTTGTGTCCTTAATAGTGACATACTGCTGTCTGTTAGTATTACCTGGAGAGAGTTTCGGGGGTCAATGCCCCCGCGGCCCGGTCTGTGACCAGGCCTCCTGGTGGATCAGCGCCTGATCAACCAGGCTGTTGCTGCTGGCTGCACGCAAACCAACGTACGAGCCACAGCCCGGCTGATCAGGAACTGACTTTAGGTGCTTGTCCAGTGC